TTAGGAACAAAGGGCATCGCTACTAGGAGCAAGGACGCTACTAGGGGCTCCGCCTTACTACTAGGAGCAAGGACGCTATTAGGAACAAAGGGCATCGCTACTAGGAGCAAGGACGCCACTAGGGGCTCCTGGCCTTACTAGGAGCAAGGACGCTATTAGGAACAAAGGGCATCGCTACTAGGAGCAGGGACGCTACTAGGGGCTCCTGGCCTTACTACTAGTAACAAGAAGCTATTGGGAAAAAAGGGGCTACCACAGGCTCCTGGCCTTACTACTAGGAGCAAGGACGCTATTAGGAACAAAGGGCATCGCTACTGGGAGCAAGGACGCTACTAGGGGCTCCTGGCCTTACTACTAGGAGCAAGGCCGCTATTAGGAACAAAGGGCGTCGCTGCTAGGAGCAAGGACGCTACTAGGGGCTCCTGCCCTTACTACTAGGAGCAAGGACGCTATTAGGAACAAAGGGCATCGCTACTAGGAGCAAGAACGCTACTAGGGGCTCCTGGCCTTACTACTAGGAGCAAGGACGCTATTAGGAACAAAGGGCATCGCTACTAGGAGCAAGGACGCTACTAGGGGCTCCTGGCCTTACTACTCACGAAACTTGCGCAACGCATCCGTGCTTCCCATGGCCCTTCACCGTGTTGGTGGGTGCCAGGGAGTGTGGTGAGATATCATGGTGTGAAGTGATAACGACAAAACTGTACAAAACAAAGTCATCTATCTAAGTGAAACCGAATGTCCGCGCAGCACTTAGTGTGACTCTGATGGATGAATTATGAATTATTGGCCAAGGCGATTGCAACGAGATCAAGATTACCCTTCTTGTGCCAAGTCTGTCGGAGATAGCGACGGTACAAAAACCGCTGAGCAAATGTCAAATCATCGGGCGCAGGCGCTAAGAAATGTGACGTGGCATATTGCATGGGGACGAGCCCGTCGGGGTGATATGGGGGTTTGCAATGTAACTGTTCCGCATATCGAATCAAGGTACGTTGGACGGCATCGGAATTCGGGATTTCAGGACGTCGAGCGAAACCCCCAGTATAAGCACGGCTCCATCCGACCTGAGTCAAACTAGACGATCCAGTTTTAGAATAAGTTGGCAGAAGTGGACCATCGGAATATCGTTGTAGGTAAAGGACAATGGTGCGAAAAGCCTCTGCCTGTTCGCGTAAGGATCTTCTTGGAATAGGGAGCGCTAAGACCTGAGGATCTTCAATTTAAAGGTCGAGGTCGTGACTGGGCATCTGTTCGGACCCAGGTAGGGAACTGCAGGCCAGTATTAACAATAAAAGCAATTGCCAACTCAAGCCACGTGATGCCAGCAGAAGTGATCAGGTCGGTGTGGGGTACATCAGCCGCTGGCCATTTAAGGGCGGCACAAAATCGAAGGACCAGATCTGCATATTGGTTGCCCCACACGCATGCTTTAAGGAAGGCAGTATGAATGGCAGGCTGAAGGCGATACCCTGGTGGTCTTGCGATGCAGGAATGGAGGTGTCTGCTTGATCTTTTTGCTTTAGTTTAGCATGTTCAAGGTTGAGATCCAGATCAACCACCACTGGATGATCAGTTTGTCTTGCTCGCACTGCCGCATGGTCGGCCCATGCATTACTCACAGCGTCTTGCCGCAAAGGCCCAGGGGGTATGTCTTCCAGTTTCTGATGTGAGCGGACTTTTCTGATCGAAAACTGATGAGCGTTCCAGTGTCGAGTTAAAATTTGCAGCAGGTCAGCATTGGCTAGCCGATACCAAGTCGGGGACTGATTGGGCCTGGTCACTTGCGCAATACTATCGATGACATATTGAGAATCGGTAGTAATAGTAACATGTTGAGACCAGTGATGGTCGGCGGCATGATGTACGATCCAAACCACGGCAGCAAGTTCTGCCCGTGCGATTGACTGATGGCCCTCCACATGCTGAATTTTGATCGTCACGTAGGGAGCTGTGGTGGATTCGGGCTGACACTGAATAACAGACCAGGCAGCGCGCCTCGTTTCAGGTTGTAAAGGAGTATCTGCGGAGCCATCGGTGTAAAAATAAATCGTATCGGCAGCAAGTTGGACTTGAGTATGGCCTGTATCTTGACCCCGACAATGAAACAACTGGCGCAGAGTTATAATATCCGGGAAGGCCAATGGCAAGGGTTGCCAAAGCTTGGATGAATGGCGGTTAAGGTAACTGATCGCCTGTGGATGTCGTTCCCTAGCGGCCGCAAAAGCTGGGCAATGGAGCTCCTAATGAGCATGAGTATCAGGTTGACCACAAAATGGGCAGAGTTCACTGACTGTACTGGTCCACAAAGCTTTCACGGCGCCCACCTGGTAGCCTCCAGTCAAGTTGTAAGCGATTTGTTTGATGGTGGTGGCCGACATTGACTTTAAAACGCGAGACAGTATGGCATAATCAAAGGGAAGATGATCGACTCCTTTACGATGACAAATCTGGCGGTTGAGATGATATGCCCATGCCTGACGTAATATATGCCGAATGTGTGTCAAGGAGTCAGGTTGGAGGGAGACAGACAAATAGCCATCAAGAGTCAACTGCCCGGTATGCGACAAGTCCCATCCTAGCGCACTAAGATACCTGGCAAGGGCGCCCGCTGGACCAACTGCCGGGCCAGTGTGGTTAGTGACCGCATTTAGGAAGTCATGCGCTAAACTGCTGTTGGTATGAAACAATCGGCGCAGGAAGGACAAAGCTGTGGATACAACGTATAACATGGGATCTTGTAACTGGGTGGTAAAAACATGTACGGCTAACCAGCTGGAAATATGGTTTTCAGGTCCAACCAACGCGGCAGCTGCCTCTCTACGCAATGAGCGGAAATGTTTATCGCCCACCACCTGAGTTTCTGCTCCATAAAATGCAGCGATGCTTGAGCACTAATTTTAGTAGGAAAACCTGGAAGAATCTTGTCTTCCTGAGCCTTAAGTCTCTTGTACAGATGGGCGCCAGACTTAAATTTTGTATCCAGTTCCATTTCATGTTTACGTGATAATCTTCGAAGTTTAGCTTCATAACAGCAAAATGCGTCGGCATCATACTGCGTGATCTGCCGAAGGCTATACAAAAGATCGAAGGATGGCAGTGTGTAGGGTACAGCAGAGATAGATTCGAATTGCAAAATCCAGTGCATCCAAGAGTTACCATATCCCTGGGCCCTACGAATGGCATTCCATAACTGGTTTAAATCCACGAGTGTGGGATCTGGCCACGGGTCTGTCGTGGAACATTGATCCAGGTGATGCTTATGATACAGTCGTTCAAGGCACCGGAGGCGTCTAACTTGACGTGTTTTATGACGACTTTTCAAGGATGTAGTCTCTGCAGGTGGTTCGTATTGCCCGGTAGTATCTCGTTTCGGTGATCTAGGACAGGTATTGCGGATCAAACGGGGAGTGGAGCAGCGTCCCCGGTAATTACGCGGTAAAAAGCGTTGTGAATGGACCACCGGGTTGCCAGCATGTTGAATTTGAAGAGTCCGATCGACTGCTTTCTCAACTTGTGAGGACCATCGGCAAAAACATGCATGGACATCAGCAGGGGTGGAGACAACCGACTGTGGATGAATGAGTGACTGGTCCGAACGGGCTTGGCGATACTGAGTATCGAGTATCTTGCTGTCCACCTGAAAGATTGTCCATGATTTAGGCACGAACCATGAGAAAGACTGAGTAGTACGTGTTGGTATGTCAAGCTGAACATGGACTGCCCTATGGTCGGCAAACTGATGTTCAGGACCTATATCAAAACACGACCTCAGCTTATTTTCCCACGCGTTGCAGAATGTTTGTTTACATTTCAACATGGTTGTATCTCCTACTTGCCTCTCGGGGCCCCGACTCTCTGTTCCCTCACCAAACCGACAGGAACAGAGAGCCCCCCAAGTGCCT